TTTATATCCCGCCTATCTAATCAATTAAGACTACTCTAGGCGGCTTACACCAGCATAAGCAACAACAATATGATTAAAAACAATTTACATAAGGAGGACTTTCAGAAGATGGGACAAACACTGGGAGAAGAAGGGGGTCAGGAACTGACAAAGGGGAAGGCCTGCCAAAACATCAATGTTTTTAGTTGTTTTTTGAAAATGCCCAGGGAGGGAGCCACGCGAATGTTAGGAGGGAGGTTATTCCAGAGGCGAGGAGCCACCGCCGAGAAGGCCCGATTTCTTGTCTTTTCTTTCCAGGCCTCCATCGGCATTAGGCTCCTCAGCCTCACCTCCTGGCTCGTGCGGGTGACACAGGTAGATCTTGGTGGGGGTAGGCGTTCCGCCAGGTATCGAGGCCCTAAACCATTTAGGGCTTTATACATGAGCATCAACACTTTGAAGTCGATGCGGAAGTGGATGGGCAGCCAATGCAATGCGGCCAGAGTGGGTGAAATGTGTTGGTATTTTTTCACACCACTAAGAAGTCTGGTTGCCGCATTCTGCACCACCTGTAGTTTCCGCAGCAGCCTCAAAGGTAGCCCTACGTAGAGCGCGTTATAGGGGTCTAATCTTGAGATTACGAGCGCATGCACCAAGGTTAAAGCCTCAGTGCCACACAATGTTATCCCAATCTATCATGACTTTTTCTCCTTCAGAAGCACCAGGAACACTCTTCCAATTTTCACTTGATGGAAAGAGTTATTGGGGAATATGACCACATTCATGATGTCAAATCCACCACCTATTTTCCTTTTCTCATTAAAGGACACTGTTTCTCCCTCTGAGTTGTTAAATGACAACCTTTGCAGGAACTGGTGTAGTTGGTTGAAAAAGGAAAGAGAATGAATGAGAATAAAAGACAAGAGAGACTGAAGCTACAAGAGAAAGCCAAATATTCTCAAGACATATGCGGTCAATGTCCAACTGAACATCTGCATGATCCTGAACTTCCACCTGAGTAAGGTAGCTGAGATATTGGACAAGGTACCAGTCAAGTTTTTTCTAGAATGTGAGTAGCATCTCATTGGATCAGCACAACAGCTTTTTCTGTTGGAATAGGTACAAGTATGCATCCTTCAGTCTTGAGAGTCTATAGTAACATGCTCTGGTACAGCGTCTAGTGTGGCTGAGAAGGCCAATTCGAGAGGGACCATCCCTTCCACACTGAAGACAAATACAATCTGTCCCCTGTCCAGCTCCCTGATTTTACTGGTTTTGGGACTGCCTCTTTGCCTCGGCCTGCTGGACAAACGTCTCTTCAAACTGGGAGATGTCATGCTGCACCACCTGGGTCCAGGCTGAACACTCAGAGGTCAAGGTTTCCTGAGATAAAGTCATTGTATTGTTTTGGTAGGCAAAGGCAAGTTGAATTCCTTTACACTTCCCCTCCAATAATCTCCATTTCTTTGGGCAAGGGGCTCTTCTACTTCCTAATCTCAGGCAGTAGATTTCCCAAATGAAGTTGTGCGACACATCTCCAAACACATGGCACAAGTTGTGCAGCAGAAGGAAGTCTCACTCTTCCAGCACAAGATGTTTCTGCCTTGTACCAAACAGACTACAGCTAGGGACTGTTTGATTTTGGATGGGAATCTCCGTCTCTTCTACCAACATCAAAACCCAAACAAAGAAACATCGTGTCTTTAAGACTAATATTATCATGGCACAGGTGTTTCAGGTCAAGCATTTATGGATGATGTTCCATTTCTTCAGACAAATGTGTGAAGCACTGGCCCAGGTTGTGAAGGAACTCTGCAAACTCCACTTAAATTTAGACAACACCTATATGTGACTTGTCCTTTTTTGTTAAGCAGGTGGGGTTCGCAGAGTTCTCAGTCCCACCTGCAACCTTCTTATCATGTTGATGTGTATATGGATGGGTCCGGCTACTTGAGTGGAAAAACAGGAGCTCCACCCAAGGCCACAGAAATCTAGGGGTGAAGCAACTGAGGCACGTTATGAGAACAACAACATCTGG